ATTTTCTACTGATCAATAATTCGTTTTGATTAAGCCTTACTGTGAAAGTAATTGGAATTCAGTAGAAATCGAAACTAAATCTCTTTGATTGAGGTGATACACAACTGACATTTTGCAACTTGAAAACACTCGTCCCCCTGCCCTGTAGGACTTTTGAACACCAAAGTGCAGTTACCATTATTATTTTTTTTTACTTCATCAACAATTCATTTTAACATTTGCACATTGCACTTTACTGGTGATTAACAGATTGAACAAAGCAAAATATTTCAAACTTTTTCATTGCCAGTCGCCATATTTTCCAAGTATTTTGCAGATTTGGGTAACTTGCAAAATGTATTGTCTTGAAACTCATGCTGAAGGGATAAGTGTTAATAAATAAACTTAATGGTGAAGTCATACTTGTACCTATGGGCCACTGTACAGTAACTACAAATACCACAGACATGCATAGCCAAACAGAGGTCAACTGAAATCTAACAGACATTGCAAACAATATCATGCATTCTAAATAAACTTGTTGAAAGTGGATAACACCTCAGAGAAGAATGTGAATAAACATAAACAAAGAATTCTTCAAAAAAATTACAGACAAGCCATAGAGTTTGTAAAACAGCTTTTCAGAGAGTAATAATATTAGTTGCTCAATAATTTTATTCTAGTTGTCAACTGTTACAACCACTGCTAAAATCAACAGAAGTGTAGCAGCTCTCATGAGCTTGTAATTCTGTTCATTGTTAGCAGCTGTTATTGTTTCAGGGCTAGGGGCATTGTTTCTGTTGTTTGTTCTATTGTTCTCAAAGAGTAGCAAGCCATTCATGTGAGACCTTATGAGGGCTGCTACACCACCCAAAATCAATCAGTCCTTAAAATGTTTTGATAAGGAGTCTTCAATTTAGCAGTTACTCAATTATCAATTTGCCAAATTAAATTCACTTTCCTAGTAATTAAATTATCAAGACACTAAGCCTGCAACCGGAGAGTTTTTGTTCAGTATGTCAATATATATTCATTGTACTACAAAATGAAATCTCTTGTTGTTTGTTTTGAAATGGTTAAAGGAGACAGTCACTCCAAGAAACGTAAATAAACGTATATTTTTTGTCAACATTAATAAAAACCTTGCACTAAGTTTAGCCACTCACCGAAGTTTCAGCCTCTAAAGTGCAGGTTTTCCTTATNTTGTGAATAAACATAAACAAAGAATTCTTCAAAAAAATTACAGACAAGCCATAGAATTTGTAAAACAGCTTTTCAAAGAGTAATAATATTAGTTGCTCAATAATTTTATTCTAGTTGTCAACTGTTACAACCACTGCTAAAAGCAACAGAAGTGTAGCAGCTTTCGTAAGCTTGTAATTCCCTTCATTGTTAGCAGCTGTTATTGTTTTAGGGCTAGGGGCATTGTTTCTGTTGGTTGTTCATTGTTCTCTCAAAGAGTAGCAACCCATTCATGTCAGACCTTACAAGGGCTGCTACATCACCCAAAATCAATCAGTCCTTAAAATGTTTTGATAAGGAGTCTTCAATTTAGCAGTTACTCAATTATCAATTTGCCAAAGTAAATTCACTTTCCTAGCAATTAATTTATCAAGACACTGTGCCCGCAACCGTCGAGTTTTTGTTCAGCATGTCAATATAAATTCATTGTACTACAAAATGAAATCTCTTGTTGTTTGTTTTGAAATGGTTAAAGGAGACAATCACTCCAAAAAACGTAAATAAACGTATATTTGTTGCCAATGCTAATAAAACCTCGCACTAAGTTCAGCCAGTCACCGAAGTTTCAGCCTCTAAAGTGCAGGTTTTCCTTATGAAATTCCTCTCCAAGGAAGCCCAAAATTTGACATTGTTGCCACCATTTTGAACAGTTCGCAGCAGCCAGGCTGCATTTCCATTGCATCATTCTGTTCAAGGGATTTTGTCCAAATGGCTTCCAACAAGCCTTTTAACTACCACTCTAGGTTATGGCTGCTCTTGAGCAATATTATTTTGAGCCAAACATGCTCCAGACTTGGAAATGGTAGCATTGAAGATAGTGAAGTGGATAATCGCTTGGAAAAAAATACCTTTTGATGCAAGTCAGTTGCAGGTTTTTCTCCTTTCCATCAATTTCAAGTCACATGGAATGACGTCACATAAACACGGCCTGGCTGCCAAGTACAGTTTTGAAATAGCAGCCTCTGAAGTCACTTCTTTCAAGATAAATTTCTTCAGGATAGGAAGCACTTCAAACATTGAAACTTCGGTGAAAGGAAAAACCTAACATTTCCTTGCTACAAGCAAAGACAAAAAAGTAAGCTTTTTGGAGTGACATTTCTAAAGTTGAAAAAAATCCCTTGACTTCTGATGCTGTTTCATTTTTCACTAGCTAGAAAGGAAATTTTTCGAAAAAATTTTCTTTACAATTGGACTGCAGAAATATTTTGAAATATACATGCACATGTACAACAAGTCATCTACATTCAAAAATGTTCTCACTCTCCTGAAAAATTACTGTATTTCCTCAGTCGGCCCCTTCCCTCTGTAAAGAGTCCAACCTGCCCATTTATTTTTACTTGTCGTTCAGTGCCCCTATCAGGGATAAAAGAAGAATTATACATAGAATGACCAAACAAAATGTTATCCACTTTAAAACTACATGTAATTTACTTACTGAGCCAATGAAAGCATTTTAAATTCTTTACATGTCTGTGGTATTTCAAAATTAAAAGCAGAACTTGGTTTACATCAAGGAATGCAATGATCAACTCAAAACTAATCCTTAACCTGGGGAACCC